AAGCTTGAGGCAGGCGCGCGTATTGATTCCCGCGTGACGTTTATACGGTGAGGTGAGAAAGCTGCAACCTGAAGAGTCGTGCCATTTCCTTCGCCACTAAAAAACTGAACGAGGAAGACACGGACTCAAGCAACAATTTGGGATTCCTCGTTTTTGAGCCGTTTGTCCTTGGTCCACTGGAAGGTACGTTATGTACCAGTGAACATAACCGGACTGGTCATTTTGATTCATTCAGTAAAGCTTGTTTAAGAGAGTCAACGACACGCGTGTTTTCCTCGAGAGGAGAGAAAGGGAGAGAGGGTGAAAGAGGAAAGAGAGTAGTAATATGTTTATGTGTATGTATGTGTATATATATAAGCATATGTGTGTTAGTAAGAATTGAGGGAGGGTCGGTTGAAGACATTCTCGAAAAAGGGTATATTGATCCGGTGGTCCGGGACCATTGGCTCTGGCACGCCACCACGAAATCGTGCTTTACTCGACCTTCTTTCTTTTCTTCACTTTCTTTTCTTCTTTGGGGGTGTTTCTATGTTCTTTCATATTCTTTATTCCAATCTTACCTACTTTTATTATTTATTCTTTTTACTTGTTTTTGCTTATTTATCATTTATTTTGTTTCTTTTTTTTTAAATTTGTAATTTAATTCTTTTCTTTTTATAAGTTTTAGATAAAAAGTAATTTTGTCATTATATTTGCCCATGCATATTGATAAGTATTGTTTGATATATATCCTAACGAATATAGTGAAAGATGAACAAACACCTTCCTGGCTGCTGCAATGCTCCTGTTACTCTTGCCACTCGCCCTTAAACGTATCCCTTATCGATCCAGGCCCGGCTACACTGCCATACAATTCGAAATTGCGCTTCACGAGCTTCTTCTGCGTTCATTGCCGCCTTATCGACCCTTCTGGCATCTACTTTTCACAGTTAGAATCACTTCTTCTTTTCCTTTACCGGTATCATCTTTTTAAAATCTTAATAAATTCTAGCTTACAAAATAAGATTACAAAATAAATTTAAAATAATTTAAAATAATTGTGTTTTCTTGTTTTTAGAATATTGCAAATAACATATTTTAATATTATCAAATATTATTTTTAGAAAAAAGAAATTAAAGTTTTTTGGAGACTTTCTTTTTATATATCATGATGCCTAAGTGGTTTCACACAAAGAAAATCCATAATTAGAATAACGACACCCTTAGGGCAAAAGTGGAAGAGAGTATTAATAGCTTTATTATCTACCTTCTGTAACTTTTTCTAAAGATTATGAGATCATTAACCTGTATATTTTTTTCCATATCTTTTATTTTAAAAAGCAGTACATTTTAAAGTATAAGATTAAAATTGGTTATTCATATGACATTCTGCTCTCTTTAATTAAAATATCTAATCTTCTTAACTAAACTATCATTTGAAAATATTTAAAAAAACTAAAATTTTATCATTTCTTTTGATTTATTCTTGCTAAAATAAATAAATTAAACTATCTCTAGATTTCTAAAGTATTTAGAATTAATCAACTTCATTTAAAAAAAAGATACATAAAACTTCAAATAGTATAATATATTTTGAAAAATATATTGAAATATTCTTAAACAAAAAATTAGAAAATCAATATTCTCTTCTTTAATTAAAGAAAAAATTTTAAATAAAATAATTTAATAGTAAAATATCTTTCCTCAGATGAGTCAACTTAGTTAATCAGTCAAGTTTAGTCTACCTAAAAATTATATTTTTCTGTCTACTGATTTTATGCTTCTTCATTGCTATGAAAGCCTCTTCTTGTGTCTTCGGGATCGATAGAATGTGAAATGGAAAGCGAAATCGGAGAATGAAGTTCAGGAGAACTAGTTGAATGTCGACAGATCTTGTTGATTCTTTCTCCGAGTAACTACTTACACTGCAGGCTGTAAAAACTCTTAAATGTATCAACACTTAAAACAATATTTCCCACTATAGAGAATTTTTAAGGAATAATCTAATAATTTATAGAATTATATTTTTAGAAATATTCAATAATTCATTTTAGGCATTATTTTTATTAATTTTATTATTAATTTATTTCATTAAGATCTATTTTTTATGTGGAATAGTTGTAAATATGTATGATCATTATTTTATATAACAGAATTCCACATTATTCCCTTGTTAATTCATGTTATCATATTTTATTTAGAATAAATAATAAATGAATCAAATAATAGAAATGGAAGGAAAATATTCCAAATATTGTTTTAGATATCACGTAATTTACCATGATTAGTAAAATTAAATAAAAAAAATTGTATTAAATATATGTTAATTCTACTATTCTATTTATTAGTATAAAACAATAATTTTATATATTAATAATTAATAAAATCCTTCAAACTATTTAAATGTTATGAATTTTAAGCAAAACAAGAAATGAAAGATGATAGAGATGTCATCCAGAAGTTGACTAATATCACATGGACCAAATAGCGATCGAACCGCCCTTACGACAAAGATTTTGCGCAGTAGTGGGTGTCCCCTCTTTTATTTAACGACGTCTATACACACGTTCTCGCGCAGTTTGAGATCGCGCTTGTCCCCCCGTGGAAGTCGTCACCACTTCTTAGTCCCTAACAGTGAGAACGAAAAATCGTACCGCGATGTCGGGCGTTAAGTGCCGTGTACGACGTTGTTAAGTTACGCTTGGCGTGAGTCGGTGTAGTTAATCTCACGTGCACGCGCGCATGTCTCTTCTCGTGAATAACTTTTTTTTTTAATTCGTATTTTTTTTTTTTTCCTTTTTTTCTTTCCTTTTAAAGAGCTGTTATACAAAAATTGCACCGATCTGTGAGATATCTGGTGAATTGTTGGAATGAGTTGTAGATTGTGTTTGTGAATATTATCTGCAAAAATCATCTGCAAAGAATTTTATTTGGCTGAATTTTTTGGTAAAGTTCTTGATAATGAAAATTTTAATTATTTATATATATTAGGGATATTAATCTTTAAAATATAGTGGCTGATTTAAAAGTTATTAAGATTTATGCGAATAAATTATAAAAGACTTGTTCAATTTTTATTAATATTAATTTATATATCGATTGGTTAAAAAATGATTTGATTGCACTAAATTAAAACGATAGATAGATAGAAAGATATAAAGAAATGTTAGATAGATAGAAACAAATTTGTGTATATATTATTTAAAGAATAATTCATATTAAATTTTGAATATTTAATGAATAAAAAAATTTTCATTTTGATATATATGACAAGAAAAGAGGAAGTTTTTATTAAATCAATTAAAGGATTGATAAAACATAATATTGAAAATTGAAAAGCGCAATTAAATATTTAATACTTATTAAAAAATATTTCAAAAAATGTAAAATTGAATTGAATGTATATATATATTAGTACATAGTTATAATATTACCTTTATTTTGTTAGTTTGTTAAATTATATTATTTGAGTGTTTGCAATTGTTTATTGAAAAAGTAAGTAAAAGAATGTTGATCAAAAGGACTTATCGAGTTTTATCTAATATTGAAAGCTCTTTTGCTTAAACGCTGACGTTTCTCTATGGAGATGTCTGCAGACTCGAGAGTCCGGGAAGCTTTATTACCTCTCTCAGCCTGCCGAAGTCAAACGCTTTCAAAGTTTTCGAATTTTCACGTAGTGCTTTTAAACTTCTTCCATGACTTCCAAGAATTTGAATTACGAACGCCTATTAGAATAAGATCCTTCAAAAACTTTATTTAAAAATAAAACTGTATAGTTTATTAGCTAAAATATTTTTTTCCACTATTTTTTATCGTTTATAATACATCTTTGTTTATTTGTTATATATATATTATATGTTATATATATATATATATTTCAAATATTAACTCTTCATATATATTTGCAAATATTAATTCAATAATTAAAAATTTCACTGATATATTCACTTACTAACGTAGTTATTTTTATATTGCTTCAGGAGATCGGTGATCAGTGGACCAGAATGAGAGAGGTCATTCAAGTCTGCTCGAGCAGGGACCCGTTGGCCCTTCGCGCGAGAAATGATTTTTAGAAGGTATCGATCAAGCATATCGTCCTTTTTATTTCTCTTTTTTACAATGTTCTTTTTTTATATTTATTTTTTTAAGTGTGCCCAGAGAATTGCATCAGCCGGAAATTACTCTGGAAATATGATTAATCTGCATGTAACAATTTCGAAGACATTATTATCATTTTCTCTTTTGTGATATAATACGATATATAATTTATCTGAAATCTTATTGTATCTTATGATACATATTTGTGTGAAACAATCATTATACAGCAGCCTTTATGGGTTCGAATATATTTAAAAATTATTTTTGAGAATCATTTTTCAATATTGTATGAAAGTAAAAGTTATTCTTGATTAATTTCACTCTCAATGCAATATTCATTTGCGAAAAATATTCTCGAAAACAATTCTTTGAAAGTTTTATTCTCAAATGTATTTCCTATATAAGGATGCGTTAAAACCCGAAAATAGTTATTATTCCCAGTTTTTTAACGAGAAATAACTTTCTAAAGCAAGTTTTTAAAGAATACTTAATATATTCACACCCTTAAATCATGCTTGCTTTGAATGATTTTATTTTCGTAATCCAATATCTACATTATTTTTTATCATTTTCGACGGATAATGTTAGATAACAAAAATCAGATAAGTATAGGTCTATCGATACTCACTTTCAACGTGCAATATTTATTGTTTTTTTAAAATTTTAAGATATTTCTATATTAGAGTATTGTGATCTGTAATTGTTGACTTAACTGTTTTTAATTTAACTATAACTGAGTATTAACTTTTTTAAAATTATTTCTTTTTCTTAAAAATATTTAATAAAATAAGATTAAAATAAAATATAAAGTATATATGTAATTTGAATAGAAATATGGATAGAAAAAGAAAATTTTAAATCTCTGCAATTTTGAATCAGAAATGTTTTCTTGTTCAAAAATATTGCATGAACATGCGAGCTTTTGAAGATTTATATAAGGAAAATCCATAGGGAGTATGACTCTACCATTGCACGTGCATCATGATCATTATGCCGCACGTTTTTTCCCGCACAAGTATTTCTCTGGAACACGTTTTCTATGTTCTCTAAGAACATCGCAAGGGACCGATTAGTCGTTTACTCGAGAAGTGTAGTGATATTGTTTATAAGCCTACATCAAGCTATTTAGGAATAAAAAAATGTAATAGACCAGCAAAAAGAATTTTCTATGTGAAGTAAATTCTAAAATTTATAAGACATTAAAAGTCCTTTAATGTTTATCATTTTCCTCTCTTTTCTTTGCATTATTTAGCAATAATTATTCCAAAAAAATAAATTGCATTCAATTCTTCTCGAGTTATGATCTTTATATATATATATATTTTTATATATTCTTATATATTCTTTATATATAATATTTAAATAAGTAGTTTCAATTTTAGTTTTCAATTTTATTCCTAGAAAAATTGAAATGGATTAGAGATATTCTTTAAATTAAATAATAAAAGGATTAATCTAATATATATAATGTAATTATATTAAAATAATTAAGTATTAAAAGTTATTAATTAGAAATGACACAGCAACGACTCTTTTATAGGCTGTTAGGTTGAAAAGCATTGATTTTCTTTTCTTTTATCAATTATCATAAATTTTTTAATTAATCAAAATAATTGATGATTGATTAATAAATAATTGTTATGATCATTGTTCGAAAAAAGTTAAAACTTTGCATAAAATTATATTTAACAAATCGTCTTCATATATAACGGGTCAATTTCTAGGAGAGAATCCGTGAAAAGGATGAGGTCAAGGTTGTACCATACCAGGTGCACACGGTCGAAGATTTTATTGATTCTTAATGAATCAACGCGAGCTTGACATAGAATGTGTCGTATGAATAGTTCCCTTGATTGAATTGAAGACCGAGACATTCGGTCGGTGATGGACGTGGCTTATGAGATTCCTAGCATAATTCTCGGTAGCCCTAGGTCAACTGTGATTGCGCACAACCACGTGGGATCGATTATTTGGTTACCGTAAAGGGGGTTAAAAGCATGAAGGCTATTTTGTTTCGACCCTTATCCACTTGGTGATTTAATTACACTATACTTGTTCTGGTTATACCTCATTCCTAATATTTTTTCAAGCGGAATTTTTATTGAAATTAGATTTGAGGTTAAGTTAGACGTTTTATTTTGCCTTTATCCACCTGATGATTTAGATACATGTTTTTGTACCAGTTGCATCATGTTTCTTCATCATATTTCTTTAAATGAAATTTATATCAAAATCAGATTGATTTATTTTCTAATTAATTTTTCAATTTAATATTCTGCAAAAAATTTAATATTCTGTAAAAATTTATTTTTTTTGAATTTTTATAATTAATATTAAAATTTTCAATTAATAGATTAATTAACGATCCATGTATCATACATGTATCATTAAATACAATTTTTTCAGATATCTAATCTAAAAAGACAGAAATATTCAAAGTGATCAAAGTTAAAAAAGGTTATCTTTTCTTTGGATATAGAATAATTAGTTAATATTGAAAATTAAAAGTTACTATTAATAAAAAAATTAAAAGTTACTTGGTAAAGTTTTAATCCCTCTAAAATTATTTTAATTATAATTATATATAATTATATTTTTATCAAAGTTAAGTTAGAAAGGTGATAAAATTTTATTTACATACTAACCTGAATTAATATTTTTCGGTTGTAGAGTATTCCAATAAAATGGCAATATTAGAAGATCAGATACACGAAGAGTGACCCAATAACTTCACTAGGTATTCAATTATTGGAGCATGTTAATTTATTAATAGTGGATCCATCCATCAGTTCCTAGATGATTGAATGATTTTAATTTGGCACGCGATATGATGACCTCATTCTATATTATCTCCCGATGGTATCCTTCTTTTTGCATTAATTTCACCTAAAAATAGATGTCGCCACGCATCTATCGATTATCAAGATTCCTCGATAATCTCGATCCTTTTCCTGTCGATTATATTATATATATATCGATTTTATTGTATTCGATGCAATATCGAAATTAATTTTTAATAACGGAATTGCAAATGTGATTAAGGAATAGGAATTCGTTAATTAATTTAAATTTATGATTTCACTAGTGTAATTGTGTTTTTCGAAGTTTAGATTAAAAAAGAAAAATGAAGTAAAAATGAGGTATGTTACTGAAAATTTTTTATAAAATTGTATATTTATGTTCTTTGATAATAAAGGATAATTTTTAATAGTATTTAATGTAGATGAGAAATTTGTTGTTTCTTAGATTCTTTTTACTTGCTCTTTCTAACTCATTTTTAAAAAAAAAATGAGCAGAAATATAATTTGTTAGGAAAAATAAAAAAGAAAAAGTGATTTTTAATTAATCCACTCATATAGAAAATATCAATAGTAGTAACAAAGTTTTCATAATTTCCGATTAAAATTTAAATCTGACTCAAACGGAAATTGTAATTAATAAAATGAAAACGAAAAAATATAAATTATGAAAAATACTATAGTAATTATTGTACTAACACAAAAAAGTAAAATAGATATCAAACGAGAGGTATTATATAATATATGTAATAGTGCTATGTGCTTACTTATGGTGTCAGAATGTTCATTATATGTAAAGATTATACAGATATTGAAAATATGTGATATATTTAGTGGAGTGATATCGATCGATCTGTCCTGATTTCCTAAAAAAAAAAGAAGGGTAGCGACTTCTGGAATTCTTAACTTCAACAAAAATTTGCGACTACGAGACTGTTTTGTTAACAAAGTACATTAACTGAACAGGCAACATCCTGTGGAAACCTTTTAGCAATGACATGTTATATAAATGGTTTTGATAGTGTTCTATATTGTGTTGGAGGAGACGTATGAAGATTCCAAAATTTCTATGCGCTCTTAACCTCTCATGTCTTATTAATTAATTCTTGCGGTTAGGTTTCCTATTTCTTGAAGAAACTAATTTAGCTATTAAACGAATTAAGTTAACATATAATTAAGCTAAAAATAATGATAAGAAAATTTTTAAAAATTGGAAATTTGAAAATTTGAATATTCGAAAATTTTCAGGATTTAAAATTTTTAAACTTTAAAATTCGAGGAATTTTTAAAAATTTTTCAAAGAAATCTCAACTATAATTTCCAATATTTTTTCACTTATTTTTTTAAATGATTTCTACTTAATCTTTTTTCATTTTCCATGGATTTTTATTAACCGATTTATTGCCAATTTCAGGAAGAGGGCATGACGCACCGAACTCATGCAGTGGCGAAAACACGTGCGCATCAAGTACGGTGGTCGAGTCGGTGTCGGTCAAGGACAACGGGAGCGGGAGCAGGTGCAGCTGCAGGTGCGCGTGGTGCAGCTGCAGCGGGAAGGGGGCGCA